CGGCGCGGCCGCGCGGAGGCCGAAAGCTGCGCCGCCAGCGCCGCCCCGAGGGCGGCGGCGGCGACGGGCCGGGCGCCGCGGCGCAAGGCGCAGGCTGGCGGCGGCGGCTGGCGGCGGCTGGCCGAGGGCGCCCCGGGCGCTCCTGGGGCGCCGAGGGGCTTGGGGCAGCTGGGCGGGAGGCCCCCGGCGGGGCGGCTAGCTGGCGGGAGGTTCGGGGTTGCCCTGGCTTCGGCCGAAAACCACCCGCTCCTTCGGGGCGCGCCCCCGCCCCGCACTCGCCGCGGGCGCGCGGGGGGTCCGCGCTGGCCGCAAGGGGGCGCGGCAGCCTTGGGGTGAGGAAGGGGAAAAAAAAAGCCTGCTGCCGTTGCTCGCCCCCCCCCTCCGGTCCGCCGCGGGCTGGCCAGCCAGGTGCCTAGGCCCCAGTGGCGGGACCGCACCTGCGCGCGCCACTTCCCACATCCCGCTGAGCACTGCCACTGCTCGTCCTTCGCGCAGGTGCTAATCCCAGAGCTATAGCTGATGGCGTCTGGCTCCACTTTCGCCTCCCGCATCTCGCTGGGCAGGGAGAGAGCCCGCTGCCACTGCTCGCCTCTCGCGCACGCGCTGACCCCAGACCTTCGCCTCCCACGTCTCGCTGAGCAGCGGGGGAGCCCGCTGCCACTGCTTGCCAGAGTTGTAGCTGATGGCATCTGGCTCTACCTTCGCTTCCCGCATCTCGCTGGGCAGTGAGGGGGCCCGCTGCCACTGCTCGCCTCTCGCGCGCGCGCGGATCCCAGAGCTGTAGCTGATAACATTCGGCTCCGATCTCACTTCCCGCATCCCGCTGAGCAGTGATAGAGTCCGCTGCCACTGATCGCCTTTCGCGCTCTCGCTGATCCCAGAGCTATAGCTGATGGCATCTGGCTCCACCGTCGCCTCCCGCATCTCGCTGGGCAGTGAGAGGGCCCGCTGCCGCTGCTCGCCTCTCGCGCACGCGCTGATCCCAGAGCTGTAGCGGATGACACTTGGCTCCACCTTCGCCTCCCGCATCTCGCTGAGCATTGGGAGAGCCTGCTGCCACTGCTCGCCGTTCGCGCACGCGCTGATCCCAGAGTTGTAGCTGATGGCATCTGGCTCCAACTTCACTTCCCACATTTCGCTGAGCAGCGGGAGAGCCCGCTGCCACTGCTCGCCTTTCGTGCACGCGCTGATCCCAGAGCTGTCGCTGATGACACTTGGCTCCACTTTCGCCTCCCAAATCTCGCAGAGCAGCGATTGAGCCCGCTGCCACTGCTCGCCGTTCGTACACGCGCTGATCCCAGGGCTGATCCCAGAGTTGTAGCTGATGGCATCTGGCCCCAACCTCACTTCCCACATCTCGCAGAGCAGCGATAGAGCCCGCTGCCACTGCTCGCCTCTCGCGCACGCGCTGATCCCAGAGCTCTAGCTGATGGCGCTTGGCTCCACCTTCGCGTCCCACATGTCGCTGAGCAGCGGGAGAGCCTGCTGCCGCTGCTCGCCGTTCGCGCACGCGCTGATCCCAGGGCTGTCTCTAATGTCATTCGGCTCCAACCTCACTTCCCGCATTCCGCTGAGCAGTGGTAGAGCCCACTGCCACTGCTCGTCTTTCTCGCAGGTGCTGATCTCGCGGCGTACTCCGTTTTTTCCATTCGGCCCCGTGAAGCTTAGCTGCGTGTAGCTGTACGCGCTCGCGCAACACCACACACACGTGCTGCCTAACGGATTAGGCTACCGGTGTTAATTGGGCGGCCTGCCTTGCCTTGCCCGTATGAGCCCCACATCGTTTCATGGACTGGGCCCGGCGTTCTGGGCAGTCGGAAAAGGAGCGTGCGTCAGCGTTTCTAGTCCCATCCGTGCCGTTGCCCCATCTTCCCGCCTGCCGTGCTCCTGCCGGTGCTGCGTTCCTCCATTGTGTGCTCTCGCTGTGCAGGCAAATGGATATGTATTGAATGCTCTTGTCCCCCCCATCTGGTGTCGACCCCCGCATGGCATGCGCGCATCAAGTGGCCTCGCCCTGGCCCCCTCCCTCCTTTCGCTTCTGCTCCCCCCGCCCCGCGGCCCCCCGCGGCGCCTGCTCCGCGCGCGCTTTCTAGGGGTGCAGTGACACCAGGGCTCTCCATCTGGATTCTGCGTTGCTTTTGGCTCAGGCCCGGCGCTGCTGGCAATGCGCCTCCCCGAGGAAGCGGCGCAGCGCGGCTTCTGAAGCGGCTCGGTCGGTCGACCCGGGCCTCGCCCGGCAGGGGTCCATCGCTTGAGCCAGCGGCCCAGGGGGCGACGCCTGGCCCCAGCTCGGCTGTCCGCCTTGGCGACCAGCTTGCCCAGTTTGCTGCGTCTTCGCTCCCGATCCATAGGGCGAGCTCCTGTTCTTCGCCGGCCTCGCCGCTGCCCGAAGGGCTCTCTCCACCGCCGCCTCCGCTGCCACCAGAGACTGGGGCCAATCGGGCCAGACGGCCCTTCTCGCCCCCTGCGGCGGCATGCCTCTTCCGAGCCTTTTCCCTCTTCCAGTCTCTTCGTTTGCCGCCCCTCTTGCCGCGGCGCTGGCGAATGAGTAGTTCCAGGTAGAAGGGGCCGCTGCTGTGTCGAGGGTTGATGCTGGGGTCTGGGGTGGCACCGTTGTGTTTTTGCCGGCCCGCTTCTCGCGGCCAGACTCAACGCGGGGCTCGCGATTGTTGATCGAGTCGACGGTGGCGCCCTTCAGGTTGTCAGACCCGCTCCTTGCGACCAGGTTTAACTGGAGCTCGCGTTTGTCGGTGAGGGCCACGCCGTCTATGGGTGCCATCTCGTCCATGCTGGTGAGGGCAGTGCCGTCTATAGATACCGCTCTCTTTCCTCCATCTGCTCCCTTGTCGCGGCCAGCGTGTTCCTCTGCTCCTTGATCGCGGCAGGCGTGTTCTCCGTCGCCGCCGCAGTCGGGGGGGGGGGGGGGTCGTGCTCGGTCCGCTCCTTCTTCCGCCAGGCTCGGTGCCACAGGCACCTCGCCTGCCCTCGCCGCCCCCTTGGCGTTTCCCCTGGCGAGCTGGAGCTTGCGTGCTGGGGGCTGGGGGGCGTCGAGCGCCCTGCGGCCTCCAGCACCTGTGCCCAGGCGGCGCGCAGCCGCGGGGCGTGCTGGCCTGCGTGGCGTGTGCGACGCAAGCCGCGCTGCCCGACCTGAACCCCCAGCGCCTCTCGCCCTTGTTATCCAGCGGGGGATCGGGGCGCCGCTGACTGCGCGGCCGCCGGAGTGAAGCCCGTCGGAGGATTGGCCTCCGAGCGATGCGTGAGACTCGCCGTGCTCGCCGCGCCAGAAGAGGAGTGCCCGCGCGCCCTCGGTGAGGGCGTGCAAGTATCCCTCGGCCGGATTGGGCTGGATGAGGTGCCAGTGGAAGATGTCGGGCACCAGCTGGTTGATCAGTCATTCAAAGGCTTGAGCAACCCGGGGCGGGGCCGCGGCGACTGCCACTCCGTGTCTGGGCCGACGCCTTGGGCGGAGGCTCCTGTCAGGGCCCCGACCTGCTTGCCGGGTGGTGCAACCGCTGTTGCTTAGCCGGCGTCAGGTTCCCGGTGTCGTTGCCGCTGTAGTGGGTGATCTGGTCCTCGGAAAGGTCGTGCGGCAACGGCCCTTCGAGGGTGATGTGCTCGTGGTTGCCTGAGCACTGGGGGGCCAGTGCTGACGTCCATGGGTAGAGGCCCGAGCTGACCATCCACGTCCTCAGCTTGCGGTACCTCTTGCCTGCAAGATATCGGCGTCGGGGCGAACGCATGTTTGTCTCGCTCAGAGAAAGAGAGAGAGAGAGAGAGAGAAACAGAGATAGGATTTGGAAAGAGAGAACCATGCGTCGTCTCTCTGTTGCGACCAAGCGTGCCGAAAGCCATCCTACCCCCTGGGGGCGTGAAGGTGACATGCAGTGTGGGAAGCCTGGGGCCTTTTGATTGACTGCCCCAGTTGGTAAACATTGGACATGCTGACGCAGCCGTCGTGTTCAGAGGGCCCTCCTCGTCGTGCTTCTATGCAAGTGGCGTCAATGTCGGCAGGCGAAGAGACCGGGAGACGGAGGCGTCTTTTTGGCCATCGGGGTGCCCGCGCCTGCCCGTGCCAGGTAATGAAAGGGTAATGAACGCAATCGATGGAGACCAGTCCACACTGGGCGTTGCAAAGGGACAGTGCAGAATTTCGAGCCGGGGAAGTGTTGTGTACGAGACAACAGCCTGTCAGAGCAGCATGGTATGCCTGCGTGGTAAGGCTCGGGGGCGGACAGAACCCCCACCCTGACACATCGATTAGTGAATTGTCCGTTTTCGGTTTTCGAGAGGGCGCCGCGGCCGTCATTTTCCAGGCTTGCGCCCGCCAGGTTTGGGCCCGAGGTCGTTTTCACTACGCCACGTTTTACTAAAGGGGGTTCTGTCCATCCCCGAAAGGCAGGATCACAGTCTGTCCACGCAGGGCACTTTGCTCCCTTCCCTCCCAAGGATCCGTGCGTGTTTTGATGTTGCGCAAGCTCTCTGGCGGGCGCATTGGGCGTGTTCCGATAGTCGAGCCCAGCTGTCGACATCGCATGGCTTGTCCAAGCAAGAGTGTGGTGTTGTTTAGGGGGCCACATGCGAACCCTACCCCTACCCCTCCAGGATTTCTGAGGGGGAGGGTGGTGTTCACTTCGTTCTGGAGCCCCCGAGCGAAGTGAACCCCATCCTCCCCCTCAGAATTCGTAGGGGGGTAGGGGTAGGGTTCGCATGTGGCCCCCCATTTTTCCGAATTCTCGGTGTCTCGAAAACCCTAAGCAAAACGGGGGACGCAACATCCACTCCAGCGAAAATCGTTGCTTCGTCGCCAGAGCTCTTGTCGATGGTATCGTCGACCCTGCTGTGGGGTAGAATCCAGGGTGAAACGCCCCCTCCGCTCCAGCTGCCATTCTATGGAGAACAAGTGCGTTTACGACTCGCACGGCCTGCTGGGGCCTCGCTGCAGAGGCTGGGCAAGCCATTCCCCTTTTCAGCCGGCGCCCTGCTTCCGTGGCGCTCCCGAGGCTCATCTGCAGCGGCTGTACGACCGCTTGTCCGCCCGCACGGGGGGGGGGGGGCAGCTTGTGCTGCTGCAGCCTCCTAGTGTTGCTGTTCGCAGATGCAGGAGGAACAGGAAGAAGAGATACGAGCAACAAGAGGGGATGCTGCCGAGACGAAGGATGAAGGGAGGAGGGGGAGAAGGACGAGGAGGAAATGTTCCCTGAGGTACAGTTTCTTTGGTGAACGCGTTGGCGTCGTGTTCCGAATCATCCAACAGCCTGTTTTTCTCATATCCCTTTCACGGACGCAAGCGTGCGCACGGACGAAAGCGAACACAGACACCAAAGCGCACTTTTCCGCATGGTTGCTGAGCGGTATGTGTATATACATATATATATGTATCGAATATGTACGTTGCGCATACGAATGCTATACATGTCAATGTATGTTCGTCTGTAATGAATAGTACAGTGTTGTTCGTCAGGCCCCCTAGCAATCCTACATTTGCCATCGTGTTCCAGTACGTATGCAATAATATTCGGCTCGAGCTCTCGTTTTGAAGTTGTGACTTGAGTCCGTGGCTAACACCAGGGTAGATGCCCTCCCGCAAGCTGAATTATCGATTGCAGTTTCATGCAGCAGTGCTGCATTTCCCGCGTTAATTCGCGCTAGTCGCGAGTGTGGAAGGCCATAGACCCGGAGGTACTCTGTGCCCGGTGGAGGGGGAGAGTCCAATCGAAGTCGTTGGGAAGCCATGCCTTCTATGCAGCCTGGCAAGCTAGGCCTTCTGTGCACCATGGCACAGTGCCACAGGGCTCGTAATTGTGCACCGAGCGCGACGTGCTCGAGCTGTGGAGACGAGTCGAGAGTCGAGATGACACGGCCAGACCTTCCTATGCACTCCACGCACGAGGGATGCAACCAGTCCTGACGATTGAGGGCTCTAGTATGCAAGCCCTTCGCATATCCGCAAGATGCCAGCTCTCCCCGAATCGGCACCTTCTCGATCGCTCATTTTCCCGCGCCCACCGCGTGGCCTTCCTGGATGCGGCGGGCTGCAGGTCGCAGTTTCGGCCGGCCGACCTCGACAAGGGCGCGAGGCTCAGCTGGACTGCTCGCGAGAAAAGGCGGCAGCTCCGACGGGCTCCACGCATGACTAGTCGATGAACACATGCATCAGATCTTCGCTTGAAGTTTGCACGGGTCGGGTCAGGATCGGAGGCTTCGACAGGGGCGGATCGCCCATCTGTCGAGCACATTGGCGATCGGAACCCCTGGCTACGCGTGCGTAATGCCCACCCCGTGAGCTATACGCTATTGTTGCAGCCCCCGACAGGAGGACGAGGAGGAGGAGGAGGAGGAGGAGGAAGAGGAGGAGGAGGACCGATGATCCTCAGGACGTGTGTTAGCCCAATGTGTGCTTGCCCCGTTCAACTTTGCCACTGCACGCAGCCTGTGCCGGCCTTCATTTACACCTCCTGCGTCGTATCGAAGGGCTTGGATGGACAAGCACACGTTAGCGCTAACCCGCGCTCTGAGGATCATCGAGAGAAGGCCAAGCAGGAAGGCAAGAACACGCATCTCGGCTCAGTGTTCTATTGTTTAATTGTATGGACGCGCTCTCCGTTTGTGGGGCCTTGGGAAGTCCGATCTTTGGTTTTGCTCAGTCGTTGCGCAAGCAGAGCAGTCATGAGGTAGGCCCTGTTGAAATTGATAGCTTTGTGGTTCTTACGTTTTTGGGCGTCTTCAGCCGCGATCCAAACTGGGACATGTTTTTCCCAACCATCCTGTGGTGTTGGGTCCTCGTTTTGAAGAGACGGTGCCCCGCGTTCCTCTTCTCCTCCTCCTCCCCCCCCTCCCTCCATCCATCATCATCATCATCATCATCATCATCATCATCATCATCATCATCATCATCATCATCATCATCATCATCATCATCATCATCATCATCATCATCATCATCATCATCATCATCATCATCATCATCATCATCATCATCATCATCATCATCATCATCATCATCATCATCATCATCATCATCATCATCATCCATCATCATCATCATCATCATCATCATCATCATCATCATCATCATCATCACCAAAGATTTCGGCACACCCCTCACACGTTTCGTGGCCCCATAGGGAGCTCCACCGAAGGCCCCAGTGGCAGGGTCCGCATGCCTCCCCACCACCCATTTCGGCACACCCCTCACACGTTTCGTGGCCCCATAGGGAGCTCCACCGAAGGCCCCAGTGGCAGGGTCCGCATGCCTCCCCACCACCCATTTCGGCACACCCCTCACACGTTTCGTGGCCCCATAGGGAGCTCCACCGAAGGCCCCAGTGGCAGGGTCCGCATGCCTCCCCACCACCCATTTCGGCACACCCCTCACACGTTTCGTGGCCCCATAGGGAGCTCCACCGAAGGCCCCAGTGGCAGGGTCCGCATGCCTCCCCACCACCCATTTCGGCACACCCCTCACACGTTTCGTGGCCCCATAGGGAGCTCCACCGAAGGCCCCAGTGGCAGGGTCCGCATGCCTCCCCACCACCCATTTCGGCACACCCCTCACACGTTTCGTGGCCCCATAGGGAGCTCCACCGAAGGCCCCAGTGGCAGGGTCCGCATGCCTCCCCACCACCCATTTCGGCACACCCCTCACACGTTTCGTGGCCCCATAGGGAGCTCCACCGAAGGCCCCAGTGGCAGGGTTCGCATGCCCCCCCACCACCCATTTCGGCACACCCCTCACACGTTTCGTGGCCCCATAGGGAGCTCCACCGAAGGCCCCAGTGGCAGGGGCATGGGCACCCTCCCCAATCCATTTCGGCACACCCCTCACACGTTTCGTGGCCCCATAGGGAGCTCCACCGAAGGCCCCAGTGGCAGGGTCCGCATGCCTCCCCACCACCCATTTCGGCACACCCCTCACACGTTTCGTGGCCCCATAGGGAGCTCCACCGAAGGCCCCAGTGGCCTGGTTCGTATGCCTCCCCACCACCCATTTCGGCACATCCCTCACACGTTTCGTGGCCCCATGGGGATGTCAACTGAAGGCCCCAGTGACTGGGTTCGCATGCGCCCCCACACACATTTCGGCACACCCCTCACACGTTTCGTGGCACCATAGGGAGCTCCACCGAAGGCCCCAGTGGCTGCGTTCGCATGCAGCCCCCACACCAATTTCGGCACACCCCTCATACGTTTCGTGGCCCCACAGGGAGCTCCACCGAAGGCCCCAGTGGCTGCGTTCGCATGCCACCCCCACACCACCTTCGGCACACCGCTCACACGTTTCGTGGCCCCATAAGGAGCTCCACCGAAGGCCCCAGTGGCAACGTTCGCATGCCGCCCCCACACCCATTTCGGCACACCCCTCAAACGGTTCGTGGGCCCATAGGGAGATCCACCGAAGACGGTACTCACACCAGCATTACTCACAACTGCATATGGTTGGGTCCTTCGCCAGGCTAATTTTTACAGCGGCTGCAGTCGAACTCCAATTTGCAAATTCCACTGCCTACGGCCATCCGTTCCTCTCGAGATATGTTTTCCATCTGCTGCCAGCGACTGTCATCCGAGGGTCTGGGCACTGCCCCTGGCCGAACCCCCGCAGGCATTGACGGATCCCTTGCCGCCATCCTCGTCGTCGTCCCCTTTCTGCTCTTTCCGCTCGTGCTCCTCCAGGGCGTCCGCGGAGCCTCGCCCTCTCTCAGTCAGGGCTTTTTGATTACTCGAAGCACCACTGGGTCTCTCTTAGGCCTTGCAAGGTCAATGTCTGGGCGCTCTTGCTGCCATTCTCCGGCGTACTGGAGCTTCCTGGAGCCCTCTCGGCGCGTGCTTGGAGCAATGCTCGGCCCTCTCGCGGGTTCTCAGATCACGCAGAGCCACTTGTGGCCTCTTCGGATGATGTTGCAAGGGGTTCCCGCCTTGGGAAGCGTGGAGCCATTTCAATTTACAAGGGGTCGCGGCCTTGGAAGCGCGGGTCCAGCCTAATTTGCACGGGATTGTTGACCTGGAAGCGTAGATCCAGTGTAATTAAGGGGTAGTGCCCCTGTGGGCGCGGACCAGTAATGATTTACCAGGGGATCGTGGCCTTGGGACCGTTCATCCAGTGTAGCTTACGTGGGATCCCAGCCCTGGTAATTCACGAGTGTTCGTGGCCCTGGGAACGCGGACCGATGGTCATTTCTCCAGATCTGGGCCTATAGTACCGCGAGTCTCTTGTAATTCACGTTGGGTTATTGCCCTGGAAACGCGGACCTCTCATGATTTACACGGGATCGCTGCCATGGGAGAGTAAGTAGACCCAGTGGGATCGTGGCCTGGGAGCGTGGGACCAGTGTAATTGACGCGGGATCGCAAACCTGTTAGCGAGGGCCCAGCGTATTTTGCAAGGGGTCGCAGGTCTGTGAGCGCGGAACGAGGGTAAATGAGGGGTCATGGTCCCGGGAACGCGGACCCTTGCAACTTACGCGGGGCCGAGGCTGTGCGAGTGCGGACGCAGTGTAAGTTTCCCGGGATCGTGCCCCTGGGAGCGCGGAGTGATTGACGAGGTATCGTGGCCCGGGAACGCGGATCCAGTGCAGTGTACGAGGGAGCAAGTGCGCGGAGCCCCACAGTATTTTACAAGGGTTCGTGGTTTTGGAGCGTAGGTCCAGCGTAATTTACGGGGGATCATGTGCCTGGTAACGCGGACCCTTGTCACTGACGCGAGGTCATAGCCGTGGGAGCGGAGGTCCAGTGCAAGTTTGAGACATCGTGGCGCTCGGGGGCATCAGTGTAGCTGATGCGGGATCGTGGCCCTGGGAGCGCTGGCCCAGTGTGATTCACGTCGAATCGTGGTCCAGGGAGTGCGGACCCTGTTGAATAGACAAGGGGTCGCAGCTATGAGATCGAGGATTCAGCGTCATTTGCATGTGAGCTTGGCCATGGGACCGCTGACTCCTCGTAGTCTATGAGGGACCGTTGACCAGGGAGGTGTAATTTCTCAAGGGGCGTGGCCCCTCGGAGCGCGGATCCAGTGCAATTGACATACTAGGAATCGCAGTCCCAGGAGCTCCGACCCAGTGCCATTTTCAAAGGATCCTTATCCTGTGAGCCCTGGCTCAGCTATTTTTTTCGGGATCATGCCCCCAGGAGCGCGGATCCGTTGTGGTTGACGAGGTATCATGGCCCTGGGAGTGTGGACCCCCCCAGTCATTTTTTTAGGTGTTGGAAGGCAGACACGAATCGTACGGCGCTCCCAGGGGGTGGTTTGAGCGGTGTTTTGAGGCCAGGAAGGGAGACTCACAGAAGGTGGGTAGGTGCAACTATTCCGTTCAACCACAGCAGCTGCAACACTCAAGTTAATGCAGCGTGACTGCGGCCCAACAAGGGGGCATGCGGAATGTTCACCCTGGGCAATCCTTCTTAGTTCTGAGAAGCGTTTACTGAAGGTCATAGCTGGGCGTCCCCATGGATCGAGTAGAATTGTGGCACCAGGCGGGCTTGTTAGCAGGGTCTGCGCAAGGCATTCTGTCAGCGAATCGTTCGTCGACAGAGCGGCAATGTAACACTTAGTTGTATGATGCCAACACGCTTACCCCAAACAATCACAGCGCAAGCACTCCGGGATATTCAAGGCTGGTAGCGTCCAGCAGAGCTGCCAACAAGCTCTGGCGGCCACTACGAGCTAGTCGAGGCTGCTGCTGCCAGAGCGGTTCTGGCCAAGCCACAACAAGCGGCTGTGGGGCTGGGGGGTAGTCAGGGCTAATGCTGGCCAATTAGATTCCCAAGAAACCAGAGCAAGTGCCACTTGTGGCTAGTCCGGGCTAGTGATAGCCAGCGGTGTCCTGGTCATGCCAGGGCAACGGTCACTTCTTGTAAGCTCTTTTCTGGGTATATCCGTTGTAGGATGAGAGCTTGCATTAAGTACGAAACCTCGGCGCTCAGCCCACGACTTGAATTCCTGTTACTTTTTTTCCGCGTTCCCATGCTCGACTGTATCACGGGTGGCTTTCCAACTGGCAGCAGTTGACATTGTCCGGTCCGCTCTCGCCGCGGACGGCAAACCCGTGCGTTGGGCTGCTCCCCCACATTCGAAAGGCAGCCTGTCCAGGAGCATGGCGATCATCTCGTGATCAGGGCGAGTGCGCACTCGGAGAGAGCGAGTCGTGACTTGCCGTCGAGCAGGAGCTCCAAGCGGAGATCGGCTGTGTGCGCGCTTGCGACAGTTTGACTGTTCTGTGCGGCCACACCGAGGTGGTGGTGATGTCGTGGAAACTGTGCGACAAATCACCGAGGCCGCTCCCAGCCTCGCTTCCACGCCGTCCATGCGCAAGTGTACGCGTATGCGTGAATGCCGCATGTGCGCATACCATTACTTGTGCGCACTCGCTTGAATTCTTTACACGATGCACGTATGCATGGATGTATGCATGTATCTTGAATCATCCACTCACTTTGCTCATTCTGCTGGCCCATCGTATCATCGTTGGTTGGTGGTGCTGCAAGATGGTTCAAGAGAGCTGCAGCAGAGTTTCGAGATGCGCCCAGATAGTTAACAGGGTTGCGGAAGGTCTCCAGGAGGCCTTGCGGAGCGCAGGATTGTCCTAGAGAAAAATTTCAGGCCCGTGTGGGGCTGTCTTGGGCTGTCTTGGGGCGATCTTGGTGGCCTCGGTCGGCAGCCCGACAAGGCGGTACCGCAGAATTCGTCGGAAGACCCTGGCGGAATCATTTCTTTTAGTGTCTCCAGGGCGGGCGTCTCGAAGTCCTCTTGGAACCCTCCGTGGGCGTCTTGGGCGCTTCTCGGGCCGTCTTGGGACCAACTTGGGCCATCTTGTTGAGGGCTTCCCGGGCGTCTGCTGGCGGCCGTGTGGGCGAACTTTCGGGGAAGGCTCGATATGTCGGGTTGAGTTCACCCTCTTGGGGCGCTCGCGGGAGCTTCGGGAGCCCTCTGGGGAGACCTCTTGGGCCGTCTTGTGGTTCTTTTGGGACGTCTGAGGCCTGTCTGGGGGTCTCTTGGGCTGTCTTGGGGCGGTCCTGGTGGCCTCTTGGGCCGTCCAGGGCGGTCGGCAGCCCGAAAAGGCGGTATCGCAGAAATCGTCGGAAAACCCTAGCGAAATCAATGGTTTCTAGTGCCGGGGCGTCTCGAAGTCCTCTTGGAACCTTCCTAGGGCGTCTTGGGCGCTTCTCGGGCAGTTTTGGAGCGTCCTGCGGGTTCAGGCCATGGGACCTGACACCCACTTGGCGCCCGATTGGGGCGCTCTGGGGGGGCGCCCGAGGCCGCGCCCAGGAGTTCCAGCGTCTCTGCTCCGGACCTGCCGGGACCTGCTGGGACCTGCCGGGACCCTGCAGGGACGCTGCTGGGGCCCAGCCAGGATTTTTTCCCAACCATCCTGTGGTGTTGGGTCCTCGTTTTGAAGAGACAGCGCCCCGCGTCTCCTCTCCTCTCCTCTCCTCTCCTCTCCTCTCCTCCTCCTCCTTCTCCTCGCCCTCCTCCCTCCTGCGTTCGCATGCCTCCCCACCACCCATTTCGGCACACCCCTCACACGTTTCGTGGCCCCATAGGGAGCTCCACCGAAGGCCCCAGTGGCTGCGTTCGCATGCCTCCCCACCACCCATTTCGGCACACCCCTCACACGTTTCGTGGCCCCATAGGGAGCTCCACCGAAGGCCCCAGTGGCTGCGTTCGCATGCCTCCCCACCACCCATTTCGGCACACCCCTCACACGTTTCGTGGCCCCATAGGGAGCTCCACCGAAGGCCCCAGTGGCTGCGTTCGCATGCCTCCCCACCACCCATTTCGGCACACCCCTCACACGTTTCGTGGCCCCATAGGGAGCTCCACCGAAGGCCCCAGTGGCTGCGTTCGCATGCCTCCCCACCACCCATTTCGGCACACCCCTCACACGTTTCGTGGCCCCATAGGGAGCTCCACCGAAGGCCCCAGTGGCTGCGTTCGCATGCCTCCCCACCACCCATTTCGGCACACCCCTCACACGTTTCGTGGCCCCATAGGGAGCTCCACCGAAGGCCCCAGTGGCTGCGTTCGCATGCCTCCCCACCACCCATTTCGGCACACCCCTCACACGTTTCGTGGCCCCATAGGGAGCTCCACCGAAGGCCCCAGTGGCTGCGTTCGCATGCCTCCCCACCACCCATTCGGCACACCCCTCACACGTTTCGTGGCCCCATAGGGAGCTCCACCGAAGGCCCCAGTGGCAGGGTTCGCATGCCTCCCCACCACCCATTCGGCACACCCCTCACACGCTTCGTGGCCCCATAGGGAGCTCCACCGAAGGCCCCAGTGGCAGGGTTCGCATGCCTCCCCACCACCCATTTCGGCATGCCTCCCGCACCACCCATCTCGGCATACCTATCACACGTTCCCATCTCGGCACACCCCTCACACGTTTCGTGTTCGTGGCCCCATAGGGAGCTCCACCGAAGGCCCCAGTGGCTGCGTTCGCATGCCTCCCCACCACCCATCTCGGCACACCCCTCACACGTTTCGTGGCCCCATAGGGAGCTCCACCGAAGGCCCCAGTGGCTGCGTTCGCATGCCTCCCCACCACCCATTTCGGCACACCCCTCACACGTTTCGTGGCCCCATAGGGAGCTCCACCGAAGGCCCCAGTGGCAGGGTTCGCATGCCTCCCCACCACCCATTTCGGCACTTTCCAACACCCATTTCGGCACACCCCTCACACGTTTCGTGGCCCCATAGGGATCTCCACCGAAGGTCGGGGGGAGCTTGACATTGGTATCCTTGCGGTACTCGCAGCTGCATATGGTTGGGTCCTTCGCCAGGCTAATTTTTGTCTCGCGCGGGGACCCCGAGGGCCCGCCACGCACGCGCGAATTGGAACATTATTAGGCTCTTGCCGGGGATTTTAGCACGCCTCTGGCCCGTGTTGCTGGCGAGCTGTCTAGTTGCATGCGTGCGGGTTTGCGGGCATCTGTGCACTTACGCACGATGCTTTCACTTGGCTATCTCTGCGAGTGCAGGCATGAGTACGCATGCTTTTCTTCCGCGGAACAGAGGGGCCGCTCTATTCGCAGCTGAACAACTTCATGCCCGCGCCTAAAGCTAACATGAACAGCACAATGCGCCCGCGTATACATCTACACTGTATCACGCCCGCGGGCATGATGTATGCATCTTCTGGATGCTGGACTTTTGAATCTATGTAGATGTCCACCAACTTTTCTCGCTTCGCCATCCGATGGGTGAAGAAGCGCTGCTAGGCTAGAAAAGCGTTTCTGCGGTGTCCATTACCCCGACCTTCGACGCGGAGCAAATTACGACGCCGTGAGCACTTCATTACTAGAGCTCTCGACGCACTTCGGCGCGGGACTTCTCGAGTAGAATCGATCCGCCACACTACCAGTGCCCAGAAAGGGACTGACAAATGCAGTCGTGGTTCTTTGGCGACGCGCGGATGTCAGGGGAGGAGCATGCCCAGTTCTCCAGCGGATGCATTTTTTCATTCGTGGGCCTCTGAACACGCGACTTTCTCGCCGGGCTCGTTTCTCATCCCTGATCGTTCTCTGACGGCCCTAAGGCCCGAAGATGGTTGCCAGACGCGGAAATCAGCGAAACAAGTCCAGCTCGTTCTTTTTGTAACGCCACAGTTCTGATGTCTGCGGGGGCTCCGCGACGCGACGCCTCCAGGAGTTGCCCCGCTCCCCAGTCTGTCGAGCGCTTTGCACTTTGTGAGCCGACCGTTGAGCGTTCCTCAGTGCCGCGGATGACCTCCGCGCGTCGCCGGCCCCCCCCCGGGGCGACCGGCGCGCGTCGCTGGGATTCCGCGCTGCGCTCGGCCCGCGGCCGCGGCCGCCATTGCGCCAGGGCAAACGGGGGCGGAAGACGTGAGCTGAGAAGGAAATTGAGACAAAGCGGCCGCGCAAGGGGTTCGGCCCCAGCGCAGCGCTTCGTTGCCCCATAGGGCGCTCCACCGAAAGCCCCAGTGGTTGCGTCCACGCGTGTCTCCCTGACTCAGTGCAGCGTTTCGTGGCCCCGTAAGGAGCCCC